AAATTGTTTTATAGCAACCTTCTATATCTTATACTGTCATATCAAAAGATAAATAACTAACCCAAGCCTGCTACAGCAATATGATTACTCTTAACGATTGCTGCCTGGAATTAAAAAAAATATTTCCCCTTCAATTATTTTGTACACCCTAACAATATGTGGAATAAACAATGCCTGTTTGTACTTAACTACAACTTCCAGGAGTTCTATTTATTATGTTCCATAGTTTTCACTATTGAACAGAATTTTCTGGAAACTTCTGGATAGATATGCCATAGGGAAAGTTCATTTGGGGACAGGAAATTTTTTAAAGAAAAATGTTTCAATAAGATAGGGAACTGTAGAAAGGAAGCTGTTCAAAAACTAGGCAGCGAGAAAATGTCAGTTTACTCAAGATCAAAGATACTTAAGTAATTAAATATAAGATAAATAAATGAATCTGGTAAAAAAAAATAAAAGGAGGGTGGGGGAATGGAATTGAAATGTGTTATGTACACGTACCAATCCCCTACAGTGAAAGCAACTATGATGTGCTACAAACATATATTATTAAAGATTAAACACATTTTAAAAGGAGGTGGATTATTATTTTCTTATGTGAAAAAGTTTGGACCATAGAGGAGGTATGTGATGAAAAGAAGGCAAAATAGAGAAAAGATTTTAAAGGTTGATAAGGAAGGACTCAGCCTGTCTGTGGACTAAGGAAAAGCCCTGGAAGGGAGATTGAAGGTACATGAAAGGTAAAGAGAACAGGAAAAGCAATTTCCAGAAGAAGTGGGACTGACAATGGGGCCAGAGTCTGCATTCCTTGAATCCTACCTGAGGCACTGGCTAATTTCATGTGGCACAACCACACAAATAATACACAGTGTTATGTTAGTTCCTGTATTGACATGAAAAGATGGCGACATAACACGTTTACATGAGGAAAGGAAAATAAGGACTTAACCTTTGAGCTAAGTTTGCAATATGTACTATATTGGTCAGCTTTTTGTTGCTAGAACACAATACCTGACACTCACAACTTCCTAACTTCATGGGTTTCAGTCCATAACTACCTGGTTCTAAAGGAGAGACATCATGACAGAGTGGAATGGTGCAGCCAAGCTGCTCACTTCCTGGTGACTAGGAAGAGAGGAGGGGAACAATGACAGAGAGGAAGGGCTCAGGACCAGAAGAGGATCCCAAGGTCTTGTCTCTGTGAAGTACCCAGAAGTGTGCTTTACTAATCCCCTCGGCAATCAAGCTGATAACATCTTTGTGTGGAAAGTTAGGAGTATGCTAATTCATTAACATCGGTTCTCCCTGGGTTTCAGAATTTTCCTTATGTCATTTTGAGCAATTCCATCTTTAATTTATTTTCAAATGTTTATATTGCTATCTGCATACACATACACAGACACTTCATACTTACAAAACTTGTTTAACAAGAAAACAAATGAAAATTTACTTTGGAGATAGCATGATTCAGCCATAGGTAAGGGAGTGATATCTTTTTCCCTAAGAATATGGGTTTATGTAAGAAAAGTTAAAGCGTTATTTTAAGGTGGGAGTAGTTATAGTGTCATTTTATGGTAGAAAAATCAAAGGAGTTTTTGATTTTGTTTTAACTTCATCTGTTTAGAAATCAGGACAGCAGAAGGAAAAACCTAGAATGAAATCAGAGAGACTTCAATAAAACAGCAGATTGTTGGGACTATAGTCGCTAAGCAAGAGTGAGACACGTGGAGAAGCAGTTGGGGTCTGCTAATCAGCACTCCGATGAGCCTTTGCCAGCATGTTATGGGATTCTCTATCACAGTGCTTAGTACTCTTTCCAAATTTTTATTGGGACACGTTTGCAGTACATAATGATTATATTCCTCATAGTAAGTTAGTACTTGTACACAACACATTTTAATTATTTGTTTCATCTCCTTCACCTCCCTTCTCTCTGCCCTCTCTCAGTCTCTTGGTCCCTTTTCTTTTTGCAAGAAGAGATCTATCTCCCTATTTCCTATTTCCTATTATCTTTTATTTTGCTCTTTATGCTTTGTGTTTCTCATGTAAGAGAAACCATGTAATAGTTAAGCTCGGTTATCTGATTTATTTCATGTAACATTATGGTCTCAAGGTGCATTTATTTTCCCACAAATGCCTCAAGTTTATCCTTTACGGCAGAAAAATACTGCGTCTAAATGCTGCTATTCCCCTTCTAGGTATCTTCTTGAAGAAGTTAAAGACATTATATTACCGTGATAAATACAGACACATGTTTCTACGCATAATATCTAAATCTTGGAAGCAGCCTATGTATCCAAGCTTAATGAATAACAAAAATGGGTTTAGTAACCTTGTACAAGGAAAAGGGATGGCTTGGCTGTTCTAGGGCTCAGGTGGGAGAGCAAACGTCATTGACTTTCAAAATAATGAGTCATGAGTCAGAGAAGACAGAAAAAGGAGAGAATCAAGGAGAATGTTCATAGACGGAGAGGACAGGAGGTGAGAAGAATGAGATCACAACAAAGTTAAAGTACAGATTTATGAGAATGGGGTGGAAAGTGGACTGCGGGTCATAAACAGTACAGCGACCGAGCAGTGTTCACTGCATGTCAGGAGAATGCATTAAAATGATGACCAAGCCATGGTAAGCTTTGACTGACACTGAAGCCTCCAAAGAAGATAGAGGAGATTAAAAAAGACAGTGAAGAAAGGTAAAAGTGGTCACATTTTTCAATGAAAGCAAGAAAAGACCTAGGGCGGAAGGAGAGGGTAATGCAAAAATGAGAAGAAGGATAAGAAGTGAGGCAGTCTGGCAGTCAGTAGCGCTTCAGACAATGGAACAGGGTGAAGGCCTAAGAATAAGAATGCTGGGCTTCTTCAAGAAACTAAAACCAGGGCTGGGGGGTTAGCTCAGTGGTGCCACCACCTGCTGCCTTGCAAGCATAAGGTCCCACATTTGATCCCCAGTCCCCCCTCTCAAAAAAACAAACAAAAAACTAAAACCAAATCAGAACAGCTGTGGAGGAGTAGTAAGAAGAAAAGAAGAAAACGGAGATATGAAACTGGAGAGCGTAGCAGGGCTCGAACACTGGGCCTCAGGAGGACACAAAGGTTTATATCATGAGAGGTTTAAACATAGGAGTGGAAACATGGGAGTGGCCCGATCTGATTTAGTTTAAAATTATACCTGTTGCTATGTAGAGAACATTTATCAGAGATCGCTAAACTTGAAAACAAAGACTTTGCCCAACCCGCAGGGAACCTATTCAGACAATGACTGCCGAACAGACATGATCTGAAGTGAAACATGCAAATGTAGGTCTCATTTTCTTGCCTGGCTTCACCAAACTTATTGAATGGGGAGACCAATTCTAGCAGTCGAGATCAGAAAGAGATTGGGCTGCTATCAATGGGCATAGCAAGGTTTCTACCATGATTTGGAGATAGAACTGCCAGAACTTAGTGAGGGCCAGAATTTGAGAAGGGAAGGAAAGAGAAGAATAAGAGATTGCGTGGGTGGGCTAGGACACTACATATGAGATGCACAAGACTGCGGTGGGAACGCGCAAACTAGTTTGGGAGAAGTAAATTGAGCTCATCTTGGTTGCATTTTAATTTAAGAGATCTGTGGGTGTTAGTAGGAAGAAAAATTTCCGGACAGCTTAAGAAGGAATAACAATGCCAGATCTTATAGCTGCCTCCTTAAGGAAAATTAAAATACTGCACAGATGAGGACCCCCCCCCACCCAGAAATAAGAGGAATAAGTTCCAGGCACAGTTATAATCCTTTGCTCTCTAAAACAACTCCTTCAGGTTATCTGAGTACATTTTTTTCTAAGTGGCAGACCTGAGTTTGTGGAGAAAACAGGTTATCTGAATAAGGAGCAATATGACTATCCAGTATCTTATGTGGCATACCTCAATAAATTATGAATAGTTCTCCAAAAAGAGACTACCCTTACTAATTGTATTCATTTTTGGAAATAAATCAGTTTTCTCTATCATTCTATACAGTAGTTCAGTTCCATAAAATTACCATGAACACGGAGTTAATGAACACAAAACCTAGGACCCTTGGAGAAATATAGAGATGGATCCTTTTAATCTCAGGAAATAACATTTGATCAATGAAAAACCTCGTTTTGTGGGTTTCTGTTTAACGAAAACAATCAATTTTGCATTCATTAACAAGTATGTCAAAACTAACAGCACTCTGACTTGCCCCAGATAGAAGGCTAACACACCTTACTCCCAAAGGCAATTTGTAACTACGCTTAGGAATACCACACAGGTCATTAGCACTAACTTAAGGTCATTTGCAACAATGAAATTACCAAGAAGAAGAACAACCACCAAAAAGGAAAGACCTGAAAAAAATGTGACACTACGTGAACTTTTAAAGACACTTGTCTGAAATACGAGAATTGTAACATCATGGTGGAACATAGCCTTGTTTGACGCATTTGATGTCAAATTTTTGGCATTACTGAGTACATCTGTGAATGACTGAAAATGTATGATAATATTTGATTATTTTAGTGACAAATAATTTTAATCAGTAGGAACATTTACAGATGAGTAATCTGTGCATATTGTAAATTGGCTCTATATAACAAACAATGTTCATGTTTTCCTATTAGTATGGCAAAAAAAGCAATCAACCAGAAATCACAAATCTTAAATTTGGGTTTTATCTGTCTCTGATTAGTTCAATGAATTTGTAAAAATTCTTTTACATTGACAAAATTCTGCATATTTATTATATATTACCTTGTCACTTTCAAGTTCCAGAATGCATGTGTGTCGTACTAGGTACACTATTTTCAATGATTTGTTAGAATGTTTATCTCTAATGATTTATTCTGTGATTAGAGGTCCACCAATAGAAATTTACAAAGGAATGGTATATTATAAAAGGTAACACAGTTCCATTAGCCAGAGAAGAGTAGAATAAATATCAGTAAAATAATGTTAATTTTCCTTCTCACAATAAAATATCTCTGTTGTTACTTACTTACCCGATCTTCCGGATTGTACTGGATAATAGATTCGATCTGTCCATTTGGGCCATTATCTATGTCAGTAGCTCCACTGTCTCTGGAAAATCCTGTACATATCGTGGTGCCAACTGGAGTAAGCTGAAACGTAAATCACAACCACTAAAAACACTGTCAATTTTCATCTTATCAGCTAAGCAACCATTGTTTCACCACACAAACCAGCCCTTTACTACACAAATGAAGAGAATAGGCATCTGTTGACAACCACAGAACAGAAAACACTTGCAAACCACACATAGGAGTTCTTAGAATGTCTGAAATTTCCAATTTCATGATCCTTGCACTGGGTAACAAAATACAAAGATTCAGCAAATGACATATGTGGACCAATTCATAACCATTAGCGTCTTAGTACCTGTGAAGAAGATGCATCTGCTCTTTAAAAACCTTGATGCATAGGCGGGCTGTGGCGAGCGGCGACGTCAGGATCCTTCCAGCAGGTCCGAAACCGGAAACCGGACGAGGACGGAGAGACGGGAGGCACTCTTCTTCTCAAGGTACTCGCTGCTCTGTTTCTTACCGGACCTCTCCTCCTCTACTCTCCGGCTGCGCAGCTGCAAGAGAGTACCGCCCACATCCGGAAGGAAACTGTAAGTACAAAAACAACTATTATGGGATGCCTTTGCTAGGCAACAGGTCAGACCCCCAGCAGAACCGGCCCGTTGCTATAGCGACGGCACGTCCACACTGCTAAAAAAAAAAAAACAAAACATCTGCACATAGAAAGAAAACAGTGTGTTACTCACCGGCTGCTTCACCTCCCTGGACGGAGAGACTGGCGGCACTCTTCTTCTGAAGGTACTCGCTGGTGTGTTTCTTACCGAACCTCTCCTCCTCTACTCTCCGGCTGCGCAGCTGCAAGAGAGTACCGCCCACATCCGGAAGGAAACTAAGTACAAAAACAACTATTATGGGATACCTTTGCTAGGCAACAGGTCAGACCAATAGCTGAACCAAAAGAAAACTGTACAAAACCACTTATTAGGGGATGCCTTTGCTAGGCAACAGGTCAGACCAAGAGCTGAACCGGCCCGTTGCTATAGCGACGGCACGTCCACACTGCTAAAAAAAAAAAAACAAAACATCTGCACATAGAAAGAAAACAGTGTGTTACTCACCGGCTGCTTCACCTCCCTGGACAGAGAGACTGGCGGCACTCTTCTTCTGAAGGTACTCGCTGGTGTGTTTCTTACCGAACCTCTCCTCCTCTACTCTCCGGCTGCGCAGCTGCAAGAGAGTACCGCCCACATCCGGAAGGAAACTGTAAGTACAAAAACAACTATTATGGGATGCCTTTGCTAGGCAACAGGTCAGACCAATAGCTGAACCGGCCCGTTGCTATAGCGACGGCACGTCCCCACTGCTAAAAAAAAAAAAACAAAACATCTGCACATAGAAAGAAAACAGTGTGTTACTCACCGGCTGCTTCACCTCCCTGGACAGAGAGACTGGCGGCACTCTTCTTCTGAAGGTACTCGCTGGTGTGTTTCTTACCGAACCTCTCCTCCTCTACTCTCCGGCTGCGCAGCTGCAAGAGAGTACCGCCCACATCCGGAAGGAAACTAAGTACAAAAACAACTATTATGGGATACCTTTGCTAGGCAACAGGTCAGACCAATAGCTGAACCGGCCCGTTGCTATAGCGACGGCACGTCCACACTGCTAAAAAAAAAAAAACAAAACATCTGCACATAGAAAGAAAACAGTGTGTTACTCACCGGCTGCTTCACCTCCCTGGACGGAGAGACTGGCGGCACTCTTCTTCTGAAGGTACTCGCTGGTGTGTTTCTTACCGAACCTCTCCTCCTCTACTCTCCGGCTGCGCAGCTGCAAGAGAGTACCGCCCACATCCGGAAGGAAACTAAGTACAAAAACAACTATTATGGGATACCTTTGCTAGGCAACAGGTCAGACCAATAGCTGAACCGGCCCGTTGCTATAGCGACGGCACGTCCACACTGCTAAAAAAAAAAAAACAAAACATCTGCACATAGAAAGAAAACAGTGTGTTACTCACCGGCTGCTTCACCTCCCTGGACGGAGAGACTGGCGGCACTCTTCTTCTGAAGGTACTCGCTGGTGTGTTTCTTACCGAACCTCTCCTCCTCTACTCTCCGGCTGCGCAGCTGCAAGAGAGTACCGCCCACATCCGGAAGGAAACTGTAAGTACAAAAACAACTATTATGGGATGCCTTTGCTAGGCAACAGGTCAGACCAATAGCTGAACCGGCCCGTTGCTATAGCGACGGCACGTCCCCACTGCTAAAAAAAAAAAAACAAAACATCTGCACATAGAAAGAAAACAGTGTGTTACTCACCGGCTGCTTCACCTCCCTGGACGGAGAGACTGGCGGCACTCTTCTTCTGAAGGTACTCGCTGGTGTGTTTCTTACCGAACCTCTCCTCCTCTACTCTCCGGCTGCGCAGCTGCAAGAGAGTACCGCCCACATCCGGAAGGAAACTAAGTACAAAAACAACTATTATGGGATACCTTTGCTAGGCAACAGGTCAGACCAATAGCTGAACCGGCCCGTTGCTATAGCGACGGCACGTCCACACTGCTAAAAAAAAAAAAACAAAACATCTGCACATAGAAAGAAAACAGTGTGTTACTCACCGGCTGCTTCACCTCCCTGGACGGAGAGACTGGCGGCACTCTTCTTCTGAAGGTACTCGCTGGTGTGTTTCTTACCGAACCTCTCCTCCTCTACTCTCCGGCTGCGCAGCTGCAAGAGAGTACCGCCCACATCCGGAAGGAAACTAAGTACAAAAACAACTATTATGGGATACCTTTGCTAGGCAACAGGTCAGACCAATAGCTGAACCGGCCCGTTGCTATAGCGACGGCACGTCCACACTGCTAAAAAAAAAAAAACAAAACATCTGCACATAGAAAGAAAACAGTGTGTTACTCACCGGCTGCTTCACCTCCCTGGACGGAGAGACTGGCGGCACTCTTCTTCTGAAGGTACTCGCTGGTGTGTTTCTTACCGAACCTCTCCTCCTCTACTCTCCGGCTGCGCAGCTGCAAGAGAGTACCGCCCACATCCGGAAGGAAACTGTAAGTACAAAAACAACTATTATGGGATGCCTTTGCTAGGCAACAGGTCAGACCAATAGCTGAACCGGCCCGTTGCTATAGCGACGGCACGTCCTCACTGCTTTAAAAAAAAAAAAAAATCTGCACATAGAAAAAAAACAGTGTGTTACTCACCGGCTGCTTCACCTCCCCGATTCTGAAGATAGAACACAGCTCAAGGCACCTACCTACTCTTTGGGTCCGGCTGCCCTCCGGCCTGGCACGTCGCTCTTCCTGCCTCCCGGAAGGCGTGAATACAGCACGCAGGGTCGCGCGGGGCACCACGGGATGCGCGGGGCATGGCATGATGGATGGCGTGGGGTCGCGGGGTCAGTTAGACTCAGGTGGAGTGTAATTTTTTTTGAGACAAGATTCTTACTAAGTAGTCTAGGACGGGATTGACCTTGTGATTCTCCTGCCTGCCTTATCCTGACAAGCTGGTTATTTCCTTTCAAGCATCATGAGTTTTAAAGCAGAGTTTTACTGAAAGTAACTCTATTCTGCCTAGGATTAGCCTTAAAAGGGGTAATTATAGAGTTATTTTTAAATAAAAAACAGCTATGAGAGCAGAAGTGCAGATTTTTATTACGAAGTTTTGGAAGAGAAAGGCGAACTTGGGAGAGTAAATGTTGAAAATTTCTCTAAGGCTGTTAGAAGGGAGGAAATAGAGGTGTGTTTAAAAGATAGCAGACTAGCACGTTGATCTGTAAAAGATATTAAATGGATTCTAACATGGAGCAATTAACTCTTTTAATTGGTATACTGTTTAAATGGAAATTTTGAGAACTGATTTAGCAGACAAGTGATAGATATATAAAAATCATTTCAGGGTAGGAGCGAGTATGAAATATATAGTAGTCCTTTCATATTTCATTTTCTTAATAAGGTGCCCATAATGCCTTATTTCTGAGAATGCACTACTAAAATATTAGTTTTCTCATAGGCTTTCCTGTGCTTTCTCTCATGAAGCTTACACTTTAGTTAATGGGAAATCAAAAAAGTTTTATTATGTTGAAATTTCAAGCGGAATCAGCTAAAAGATTTGGGTAAAGGATGCTTCTTGCTGAAGAAAATGTTGATGCAAGAATCAGCTCAAGACATTTGAGGTTTAAAAATTGGTCTTTGGCTGGTGAAGTGAATTGAGACTAGCGTTGTAGTTGATAAAGTCTGAATGGCGTTTAATGTGGGGCACATCACACTAGGAAGGGAGTTGGGATAACAATCTAATCGAATGAGTAGAATAAGATGATTCTAAATCAGTAGCATGGTTCTATCTTCCTAAGAGATCGCTTTTACTCTTCCATGGAGAATAGAGTACAGCAGAGCACAAATGAAAGCAGACAGCAATGGTGGCTATAAATGGTACATATTTAAGCAATAGATGATACAGTCTTGGACTCTGGTTGCAGAAACAAATGAGGAAGCACTGAGGAGTTGACAGTTTTGTTAAAATCCTCAGCCCAAATGGAAAGACAGTGCCTTTTTGCCAATAAATATTACGTGTCTGAATATTTTTAAATGAAGCCTGTTTTTCTGCCATGAATCAGACATAATACACTTCTATAAATCTGTCAGTACAGAACTATGAAATGTGATCATTGGTGATCACTGGAATTAATAGCCTTTTGATGCCTTTTAATGCCTCTCATATTGGAACACCACAAAAAAGATCAAGTGTTTGCTTCTCATCCTGTATTTTTACTATACCCAATTATTCTGTAATATTATTCTGTGCTTAATTTTATGTTTTACCTCACTAAATAGTAGTGATGAATAATAACATAGCCTATCTTTGATAAAGTACTAAAAACTGAACTAATGTAAGAAAAGATCTTAGAATAGAGTTTGACACATAATAACAATAAAAGACCACTTACTATTAGTGCCAGCTCTTTACAGGCAAATAGACTGAATAATGAAATAAGAACAATTTAAAGTGTTGACTCAAAAATATTCTTCAATGGAGGAAGAAAGGGTTGCGTATAATACAAATACCCCCTTGTAGGGGAAACATGTCCAGATGTTTATTACCTTTTTGTTGTTGTTACCAGAGGGATGATTTTGCTTTGGGATTGTTAGTGGCAGTTGAGAGACAAAAGGAGATAAAGCTTCAGCAAGTGATTAACCTGAGCATAGGTAGTCTTAGGCAGGCAGAAAATGTTTCTTCATTTAGTCTAGTAAATGTAATCATACCTGCACAAATTTTGAAAGTTCCAACTTCCGAAGCCTCATCCAGAAATTTATAAAGTAGAATTAGCTGTTAAGCTTTCAGAGGCATGTAATTTATGGTTCAAAATAATTTATATAAAGAATGAGTATCATCTTCTTTTCAAAATGGGTATCATATTCTTTTTTTTAGTCTGGCATTGTGATAAAGCTGAGTTTAAAACAGTTCCTATTTGGGTCCCATGACCTTACGTTTTAGGTGCAGTTAGAAAAAATAAGAATAGATTCCTGACTAAAGGAGAAACATATGACACAAAAATTTATTTTAGAAGATTGGAATTTTAGCCTCTTGTTTAAAGGTATTTCAAATGAATAACCCAACACCCAGGGACTAGAGTGACATTACAGCAACACCGAACCAACAGTTAACCCAAGGAAAGTAAATAATAACAGCCTTGAATGGGAATCCTGTTCCAGAAAGAATGAAAGAACAGATAAATGGACACTGGAAACCATGCAGAATACGAAACAGATTTAAAAAAAGAAGCTGTCTAATGAGTTTTCATTTCCTTTGCATATAAGAAAACCTTGTACAGTCTCTGGTAAACCTCTGCTTCACTAAGGTAATTTTAAATAAATTTCTATCTCTTACATTGACATGTTAGTTTTATATTGGTTAAGTATCTATTTATAAATGTTTATCTATGTTTTACATTATCACATTTCCACATTGGTGATGATGTCATGTCCTTAATGACTGTCTTTTAGATTCAATGCTTGTCTCAACTCAAGGTATGGCTACCTGGAAGTAAATCATTATACAAGTGAATTTAATTGTCTTTACATGAATGCACAGTCTTTACTTCTCCATATTTCCTATTGTCCTTTGTCATATCTTTCTAGTGCTGGAGGATTTTGATTTTGAATCCCTGTCTCTCTTTTTCAGAGCAACAATATCATTACTTATCTACTTAAGTAGATATAAATTAGACAGAAATTAGAGAATATTCAAAATTGTAGTCTATTTCCCACAAATGGAACAACACAAAGATCAACAAAAATGTCCTTAGTTGAATATTCAAAAGCACCAGGCACAAAATTATACAAAGACAGAGGGTGAAAAGGACAGCTTAACCGTGACACAATTTTTCTCTACAAACAGAAAATATATTTCTTCTTACTAACCATGACAATCAACTGGTATTACTTGGGATGTCATATGTAAGACTCTTGAGATCATCTATTTTCAGTGGACAAAACTAAAAAGAACAATTGAAAATATTTTCCATGCAGCATTGTAACTAAGAGGTTCAGAGAGATAGTATAGAAATTTAGTTTTCCTCTGTTTTGATAGTGTATATGAGTTTCTTCCTCTTTCTGAAAGTCTGTGGATTTTCTTAGTGATTTCATGATTAAGAATAAAATCTTTAACATTGACTGTAAATCCTTGAGCAATGTATATAGCTTCTGTTTCTTTCTACTTCTCAAAAACCATCTCAGCAGAGCTAAGTCCCAGACACACTAGACTTTTTAGGTTTTAGATATCACAAAGCCTTTAATTCCAGGCTTCTTACTGCCTTGAATTTACTTTTCCCACTTTTTTTTCTTCTAGATAATTGTTACTCAAGTTTTAGATTCCAATGAAAATATTCCTTCTTAAAGGTCAGTTAAGTAAATGATTTAGATTAAACTGGTCTCCTAAAATGTCTGGGATTGCCAAATATTTTGATTAGCCAGTAGCTTTTTTGTCTGTTGTCTGTATTGTATTATAGGAAAATTTCTAAATGTAGGTGCACAAAAATACATCCCCTGAAAGAATAAAGAATACTTTATTTTTGATCTCTGCTCTGCGTATCTTTAATCCTAAGCAACACAAATTTCTTGTAAGTGTATTTATTTGATTTTCCAACCTGAGGCCAAAAAAAAAAAAAAACAACCAAAGGACACACACACACACAAAAGGGAACAGAGGAATTAAATAAAGAAATAAAAAGAAAGTTAATCATAAACATGTTTTAGAATGTAAACTCACAAAGAAAAAGGTTCTTGGTTTAACAATGCCTTTCTCTCCTTCTGTACATTTAATTAGAGAGTAAAGTCACCTTAATTAATAATAAAGTTAATATTGCAATAAAAGCCAAGACAATGACCATTATATTCAATGTGTTCCGGTTTACTAGTTCAGTAAAATATTTTTATTATTAGACAAAATAAAAATCTAAAATAAGAAAACAAATTGCAAAGATTATACTTTAATGGCATGGTTCTCAGAAATATTGAGTTAAAACATATATAGTGCTGCATTGTGTGTCAGTGATGAGAAAGCAACTAAAACAAATGTAGTGATAATCTGATCCTGAAGAAATGCCCTCAAATTCTCAGGAAACTTGAACAATAGGTGGAGAGAAACAGTATATTTAACTTATTGGTAATTGTATATATTGATTCCAGAACTGATTCCCATATTTGTTTTTGTGGTGTGAGATCATCTCAGGTTTAATTAATTAACTAAATTAATTAACTGAATAATTACTTGAGACAATTGAAACAGACTGCTTTTATAAAATAGCCCATTCAAGGTAAAATAATGAACATATGACTGACTAGAAATTAAATACATAAAATAAATCCAAAAGCCCAAAGTAAGTTTTGTTTTCTAGAATGTTGCTGTTATTGTTTTTGTGGAAAGTCTTATGTAAAGACCTTTCTCTTTTGTTTTTCCTTAGTTTGCTTTCTAAGGTTTTCTGTTCCCAGAACCCTTTTAATTGTAACTTGTTCTTCTAGATCCTGTGCAAGTTATCTCAATGGTCTTTCCCTCAAAAAACATAAAAAATGGATCTGAAATAAAGATCCCAAAGAAGGGACTTGACATGGTAGGATACAATTGAAAAGGAAAAGGAAAAAATGAAGATAAAAGGAAAAAATTAGGAAATAAAAACATAAGAAATAAAGGAAAAAAGGAAAAAGAAAAATATACAATAATTTTTACTTCAAAAAGTCTGTATAGCTGTTTCTCAGACAAAGGACTATTATCAAGAATATATAAAGAACTCAAAACAATCAGCCCCCCCCAAATATAAAGACCCGATTCAAAACTGGGCATCCGAAATGAACAGACATTTCTCAGACAAAGAAGTAAAAGCAGCAAGTAAATATATGAAAAAATGTTGCACATCACTGATCATTCGAGAGATGCAGATGAAAACAACACTGAGATTCCACCTCACCCCACAAAGAATGGCTGCTATCAAGAAATCACTCAATAACAAATGTTGGCGGGGATGTGTGGAGAAAGGAACCCTTCTCCATTGATGGTGGGAGTGCAGACTGGTGCAACCACTATGGAAATCAATATGGAGATACCTCAAAGAGCTTGGACTGGAGGTTCCATTTGACCCAGCCATCCCTCTGCTGGGTATCTTTCCAAAAGAATTAAAAGAATCATATCACAGAGAAGTATGTGCACCCATGTTTATAGCAGCACAGTTTGTAATAGCTCAATCTTGGAAACAGCCCATTTGTCCATCCGTTGGAAACTAGATAAAGAAGAAGTGGTTTTTCTATAAAATGAAATATTATCCAGCCATAAAGAACTAGAAAATAGATTCATTCATAGGAAAATGGTTACATATTGAAGATATACTCCTAAGTGAAATAAATAAAGTTTTCATAGATTAGAATATATATTTTGTTACATCTGTTGTTAAATTCAAGGAACAGTCAACAAACATTGAACAAGTATAGCTGTGTTAATCTCGCTGGGGCTACGAAGATTGTTTTAACCTTCTTGTGGTGGGCACAAATACTGGAGATATTTAAAGGAGAGCTTTATTTTGGTTTACTGTTTCAAAGAATTTAGCTCACGATCACCTGGCTCAAAGAAATAGCATGGCAGAATGGCGTGGCAGAGGAGAACTCCAACCCCTATAGCAGCTGGAAACAGAGAGAGAAGAGAGGAAATAGAATTCAGTTTTCCAATTCATATCCCCAACAACCTGCCCCTTCTGGACAGGCCCTCCTCCAAATGCAAACATTTATAGGGACATTTTAATGTAAATCATAGCACATGACTTTTTATTTTAT